GAAGAATTAACCAACTAACAAAACTTCTAACTACCTCTAGAAAATAAAATGGTGTTGGTGATTTTTGAAGTGAAAGAGAATATAGTATAAGGAATTCATAAATAATTTAGTGTGGATAATCATATATCACAAATGAAAACATAACTTGTTTCACTGCGTAATCTTCTCTAATACGACTAACTATGATAGGAAAAAAAAAACATTATAGCATAATCTATTTCCAGTAATGACTATATTCTTATTCTTATGATATACACTTTTGCTCTATAGACATCAAACATAATAACTTGTGATGTTGTCGAAACTGCAACACATATTAAGAATCTTGTCGCAACCGCAACCTACCAGAATTTAAAACTGTTTCACAACTATCCATGGACTCAGTTTCTGCAACTTTTCTCGCTTAAATTTGCCAACAAGGTAGATTCTGACATAGAAATTGATGAAGATAACAAGAACACCAGTGTTGAGAACAGAATTGAAAACCCAGGCACCAATTCCATTACAGCCACCTTTGAAAAAGAAATGAATCAAGAAAAGTCCAACATGACAGGCCACGTTACACCCCATCAACACAACCTGGCAGTTCAAGATGAATGGAAAACAAGCCGATCGGAGTCCGATTGCAGTCCAGAATCTGTAACCGTAAACCAGAGAGTAGACGAGGGTCGCGAAGAGGATCGCGAGAACTTGAAAGGATTGCGAGAATTCTAACCAGAGAAAGGAGACAAAGGTGGAAACGGAGTGGTTTATGAGTTGGGAAAACGACAACCTGCGACGGCGCAGGATTGTTAGGATTGTTCGAAACATGTGGAGGAAGCGGGAGAGGTAGTAAATGTATGACCAGAAGAAGACACGACCTGAAGGTCGTGTTCCTAAGGGGAAACAAAGGAGCCATTGGAATGGGGTTTTGGAACGGTGCCAGAACCAGCGTGTGTCGCGAATTTCAGATACTGCGGAGGTTAGTGTTCCGACGAAGATTGTTGCGGACATGAGGGACATGATGAGGCTGTGGAAGGCGGGGATGGGGCCGAGAGGATGTGGCGGCGGTTGGGGAAGAGGAGGGAGAGGGAGAGATGGAGGAAAGAGAGAGGGTGAGGTAGGTGGCTATGGAGGTGAAGAGGAAGGACCAGGTGGAGCCCCATGAGTGAGTGTGACTCCAACGGAATTCGACGATGGAAGGGTGTTCGGAGAGGTGGTACATTAGGGTGCGGATTAAGGTTGCTGGTGGTGAGGACGGTTTAGCCATGGTGGTTGTTGCGGCGGTGGTGACGGTGTTGAGTTCACATTAGTGTTATTGTTGGAATTTGTGGATTTTATGGGCAGAGTGAAATAAAAAAGAGATTATAGTGTGTGAGAAAGTGGTTGAGGGAGATTAAAAACAAGAGGAGGAGGATTGTTAATGTGGCTGAGTTTTGTTGGAAGTTTCTGACAAGCGTTTACCTCATGGGAATTGAAAAATAACTATAAAATATTTTATATTTTTCCATTTTTAATATAATGTTTATTTGTTTTTTAATTCATTTTTTCTATTAAATTCTATTTATTTAAAGTAGTTTTATTAAAATATTATTTGGTTTATGCAATTTTTAATTATGAGTAGTGTTACTTTGAATTGAAAACAACACATAAAACACTTTATATGAATGAATATCAACGTCAAAATCAATCCTAGACAAAATGGGCCATAGATGAAGAAAAAAACTATACAAACATTACGTGGAAAAAAATCTCTCTAATGTATTTGTTATGATAACTATAATAATAAATGAAAAATAAGAATAATTTACTAACTTGCCTCAACATGCATCAATTTTTTATATATCGAATAACAACTAGAAGTAAATGTGAATTGTGATGATGAATTCTTAAACGGTGTTATAAGTCTTTGATGTAATTGAACGTGGGGATAGACATGTAAAATAAGTATTTGAGCATTTAAATTAATAAATAAGTCTAAAAATGAGTAGCAGTGAAATATGAAATGTGTGTATCTTAAGTCTTACGCGTTTAAAAACATGTATATATATCTAGGTTGAATAGTCACTGGACTTTATTTGAAACAGTAAGTGGATATTTTTTTATTGGACATATGACGACCCATAACAGTTGTCTCCAATGCTTGTTGTGATTTGTTGTGAAGTCTTTTTGGATCCGTGTCTGTTGCGTAATGTTAAGTTGATCCCTAGTAACCATGGAAAGTTCTAAGAACACATTGCAAAGAAAGTAGAAGACAAGCACATTAAATGACAATCGTGTCGTTGCGTTGCTTCATAGGATTTAGTACATGTGGCTCTAGCTTCGTTGGCTATGGCATGAAACTTTTATTAGGGTGTTTGAGTGCACTCAAGTGCGTTTGTATTAAGAATCTTGTCACGACCGCAACACTAGGAAGGTTGTCAGCAGAATCACCAGCTTCATACATATACACACGTAGATCAACACCCTTTTCTTCGGTGACAAAGCCATATTATAATCTCATTGACATAAAAGATTAATCTTTCCAACCTCTTTGGAGTTAAGTAGAATTTTTTATTTATTTTAAATGCAAATGATTAAGTTTGGGGTTGCTCTTGGAACTAACAACATTTTCAATTTGGGGTTGGTGTACTAGAGAACACGATTAACAAACTAAAAATAAATAAATTAAAATGTTTTCTTAAAAAAAAATGAAAAATGAAATAAAGAACCAAGAAAAAGTTACTTTCTAAAATCGTTTTCCTATACATTCTCTCTAACACAACATCATCTTCCTCTCCCTATATCCAAATTATTGGTGACGCTATGTAGCCTATGATTGCGGTGGTGTGATCTTAGAACACTCCACCATTCACCTTATTTGGATTGCGCGGGTGCTCCTTGGAAACTCCGCTTTGTTTCAACGGTTTGGTTTCGGCGACAATTGGTATGTTTGATATTTTTTATAAACAAAGAGACTTATGAAGTTTAAGGAGTATAAGGAGTACTCAACCCAAATACAATCAAAAACTAAAGAGAAAGAAGAAGAACTACAGTGAAAAAAACAATTTGGATTAGCACACTAATGCTTCCAACCAAAGCTCAAGAGACTCTTACTCTTACCCACTAACCATTCCTAAGACAACTTTTTACTAATAGATAAAAAAATCGACCACAACTAAAATCCCACCTTTAAACAAATATTTATTCATACCTAACACAAAGCATAACCGATTACTTAAGATTCAGAGTTGTGTTGTTTTTTCTATTTCACCGGTTGGTTTATTCCAATTGAGTACTCACATTGGGCTATATACGTTAGAGTCCAATATGAGTATAGTGAAAAGTGTGTCTTCAATCTTACGTGTGATGACTATATATGTTGGATCATTTCAATTGGGCTATGCATGATTAGGCTTTCCCATTGGGCCTTTGGTCGGGCCAAAATTGTTGCCCCCAAGGCGTGTCTGGTGTATATTAGCTAAAAAGTCTTTCAAAGTAGTGGCTGTTGTTGGCTATCACGTCTGATAATAGTGAGAAGCAAGAAGGTCATGGAGCAGTTACAAAATTAATGGAGAACATGTCCATTAAATGTCCTCCTATCATTGAAACGTCTCACTGGTTTTTCAGACATATGACTTCAGGCTCGCAGGTTAGGGCATAGTATTTTCCCTATGAAATTTGGGTGCACTTGAATATGTTTTCATTCCATGTGTTAAATTTGTTCGTTAATTTGAAACTTCTTTTTTCCCGTTAATCTGGTATGTTCTCTGCTTTCCTCTATGTAAGGGCATCTTATATTTTGTTCGCTAATTGTGAGAGTCAGTTTTAATTTGTAAGAGTAATTTCTTCCCATCTCGGGAACATTTCTTTGAGCATTTGTCTTTCCCATAACAAAGCTTTATGTTCCGCATTTAACTTTCACCTTCTTCATTAGACTATGTTGCTTCTAGGTATCCATCTTACCCTAACCTTGATTCATAATTGTTGTACCCCAAAATTTTCCCTCTCATGTTTTTGAAGATTTTTCTTATATGGGTGGTCACAAGCATTTGATTAAAGGAAAAAAATAAAAATTTTGAACAAGGAGTCTTCGATTGGCATCTTAGCTAAGTCTTTAGATTGGCATGTTAAAAGGCCTTTCGATTGGTATTTGGACAGGCTTCGATTGAGCGCCTAACCTCCTCCAAGCTTGCCTCAAATTTTCAAGCTTTGATTGAAGCCTTGGCCTTCTTGTTGTTTGATGTATACAAGCTTCGACGGGGCATGTGTTTCTGTTGAAACAGCCTCCTTCGATCCAAAGGGGAAGGGCCTCTTGTTAGTGCTCCTTTGATTGCACCTTTGGCTTTGCATGCTAGTTTGACTCACAAATGCAATGGCTACCTGCATGCAGGCTGGATTCCTGCCTCGTTTGGGCATTTGTTCTCTTCAGAGCATGCTTAATTCCTACTTCGACTAGGCAAATAATCCCCCTTTATCCTGCCTTCAGTGCACAAAGCAAAAGGCTTCTTTCGACTTGCCTTTGATGCACAAGGCAAGAACCCCTTACAAGAGTGTTTTGATTCATCAAGACAAAAGTCCATTCATGCCTACCTTGGATTCACTAAGACAAAGATTTCATTTATGCTTTCCTTCAATGCACAAGGATAAAGACTCCTCAGCTTAGTTTCTGCACTATAGCACAATATGGCCCCTTCGAAAGAGCATTCCAAAGGTCTAGTCGAAGGACATGCATTAGAGAGTCATTAGAAGAAATCACAAAGGAGTGCGTGCGGGATATTCAAAGGACACGCAAATGGTGCCTTCGAAGGGGCATGCATTTGGTCAAGTCGAAAGGCACATAATGGTTGAAGGCAAGTGTTGTTTTGTCTTTTGATGCGTCTGGCCAAAGTCCTGCATGCTGCCCAGCCCAAGCCTCATGCACCATTACATTCATGACAAATGAGATTTCGATTGGCTAGCATGAAGTCCTCACTTAGGCTATTGGAATTAAGCCACTAAGGCAAATAGATGGGTCCAATGAAGGAACCATTTGAAAGACACTCAAGAAGTCCATTCGAAGGAGGCAACCAAAGGCTCATTCGAAGAGGACACAAATGGTCTATCCAAAAGACCCCTTTGAAGGAGGCAACTAAAGGCTCATTCTAAGGTTATACAAGAGGTCAAATTGAAGGAGGCAATAGGCCAATTGAAGAGCAACACCAGAGAGCATTCGAAGGATCCAAAATGTCTACATACATTCAAATTCAAAAAGGGACAGGTTTCCATGACTTTTGCAATGTTACAAAACTTCATTCATGGCCTTGAAAACATTGGTTTAGTGCAGTTTAAATTATTGTCTTCTTATCCCCTCCATTCTACTCTATATAAGCAGCGTGTTTGCAAGCCAAATGGACAGGTACACACACATTGGAGATACACTGCCCCATAAACCCACCAAAATTATCAAAAAAATCTCATAAGTAATCCAAATCAAAGCAACCCTTAAACAAATGGTACCCACGTCCAGAAGCCAAATCGAAGCAATCATCAAACAAGGGTACCCACACCCATCATCACATATTCATCCATCAACCATCGGTAATAATTGGTAAAAAGATCAATCTCTACATTTGCATGACACATGAATATTTGTAGTTTCATTCGATTTGTTGTTCAAGACTAAAGACCTGGGTTCGACCCCATGTCTGCCTTTGTTTTTCTTCTAACGTTTGTTGCAGATCCAGCATAAATAAGGCCAATGTGCGTAGAATCGAAGGACCTGGGCTTGGAACCCAGGTCATGGTTTTCATTTTTGCTAACATACCTTGGCAGATTCAATGCTTTCACAACATCCCTCCTTAGATCGAAGGCTACCCTTTTTCCTCTGGATTGAAAGCCACCTTCCTTTGGATCGAAGACAACTTTTTTCCTCTGAATTGAAGCCATGATTCTCCCTGGATTGAAAGATCCTCTCATTCCTTCATATTTTATTTTTGTTCTTTTTTGTTATTTCTTTATTGATCCTTTTTATTTAAATTAATCTTAAATCAAAATCACAAAAAATATTAGGATAGTTTTTATTAATCAAATTAATTTATAAAGAAATTAATTAATTATTTTAACATCTTTCTTAAAATAAAAATTAAAAAGATCTAGGCTTTATTTTCTTTTATACATAAAAAACAAAACAAAAAGATTTTTATTTCT